CTTATACGCAATCAAACCTCTAGTACGTCTCTTTGAGTCAAGGCAGGTCTGGATGATTTCACTGAATTCGCTTGTTTATTGAATATTGGTATATCTGTGAATCTATAGTGTATTCGCAGCTGGATTATATATCTATACCCTATCATCTATATATAATGAGGTGAATCATCGTCTACTACTTATTTTAGTAGTTTTCATATGATCACCGTACTTGCTTGCGGTTTGACAGTTGACCTGAACCCGTTCCAAACAAATTAGTGCGTTCACGCGTGTGCGATTGCTATTTGCTGTGTTACGGATTGCTGATATAAACAAGCATATAAGACTCTCTGATGAGAATGTCAAGTCGTATAGAAAGTTATAGTGTCTTCGTAGCGTCCTGTTGTAGTTTTTTTTCGTAAAGAAAGTTATAGAGTTTTTGGTAGTGTCTTCTGACTGAGCACCCTGCTGCCCCTGGTAACTACCCGCCTTCGCATTCGCACCTTTTCGCTTGTTTTATATTCCTCTTTCCTGTATGTGGGGGGTACAGGTATCTGTACCGTTGTGACTGAGACTGTACTTCCGTCTTCGCATTTTGTTTGTTTTAAAGTCCTCTTTCCTGTATGTGGGGGGTACAAGTATCTGTACCGTTGTGACTGATACTGTACTTCCGTCTTCGCATTTCGTTTGTTTTATAGTCCTCTTTCTTGTATGTGGGGGGTACAAGTATCTGTACCGTTGTGACTGAGACTGTACTTCGTGTGTGCTTGTACGTTCGCAGGGCCATACCATTGGGCCATGTGTCCATTCTTTAACTAATCTGTGAGTGCAAGGGGGTGTTAAGGGTTGGAACAATCTGTGTCGCTGAACAATCTCTATAAGTGTGTACAAGGCTACTAACATTGCCTTCTAAATGAAGCTCTTAAATCATGATACTACTGGTGCATTTTGTATAACCATGTGTCTTTCATATTCAATCGCATCCTTCACTTGAACCAGAGTATATAAGGGTACCAGAGTACATAAACGTACCAGAGTACATAAACGTACCAGAGATACCAATGCTCAATCCTGGTACGGAGTGTATACGCTTCCCCGTACCAGCCACGTCTGCAGCCCACACCAAACCCAGACACCTCTTCGGTGCCGTTCTATGTACCAGACAAGCGCCAACCATACATGTCTACTGGGTTTTAGAGTTTAGGGTTGCCAAGTGCAATGTACTTATCTATATGCTGTGCTCTCACTTACCTATCACCCCCACAGCCACTATCCAATCCCAATCCATTCCAACCCAAGCTCCGCCAATCAGAAGCCGGACACCATGGACCATGCCACCCCCACCCAAAGTCTGAAGGTGTCGTCGCGTCACACCCCTCCCCCCATGTGGGCGTATGGGCTGGCCCTACTGTTTTTTGTGTTTATGATAGGGCTGACCTATGCCTTTGTGTACTGGACCAAGTACAACCTGCGGGTGATGCGCCAGGCGCACGCCGAAGGTCTGCAGATGCGCGGTAGTCAGAGTGGCGGTGGGCATAGTGGCGGTCTGAGTGTGGGCGTGACCGGTAGGGGTAGGCGCTTTGCGCATGAACCTGCGGCTGAGTGTGTGGGTGAGATTGCCGGTGGTGATCCGGATGAGGAGGAAGAGGTGCAGTTGGTGAATGATGTAGGCACGAATAGCCAGCATATCACGAAAAGTGATAAGGGGAAGAACTATGAACTGCTAGAGTGATGAAGATACTGTATATGGCTATATCTATGTATATATATATGTGTGTATATT